GGCGAAGAGAACGGAACGGGCCGGGCAGAAACGGCTACTCTTGCGGTTTTTGTCGTGCCCTGAAGTGGAACAACGATCGTGTGATCAGACGGACGGACGGTACTGACGTATCGTCGTCTGAAGTCGTCGGAGGTCGTCGCCAGGTGTGTCCTCACAACCTCGTATTACAGGTGCTGGTGCTGACCGACCACCGACTCTCGTCCTGCCCTGACTTCCAACCAGTGCTGCAGCTGAGGTACGGCAAGGGCACATTCGCCCTCGATGCGGTGACACGCTGCCGCACCGCAACGCTGTGCTTGCATTGCTGGACAGAGGAGGCGACGACGCCGATGGTCCACTTCCTTCAGCTGGCCGCTTGACCCACGTCGTCAGCCAACGCACGCATGCCGATCGTGAGACGCCAATTCGGCTCCGGGCACCTCTTGACTAATGGAACGCTGCTGCACAACTCGCAGGTACTTTTACGAGTAGTCGTCGCTTTACTCGGCGTTTCGTCGACAAAGTCAAGGCGTAAGCGGAAAGCGACGACGATTTTTATGCCTACCAGCCGCCTATGTCACACACATTCCCTTTGAAAACGACTGAACAGACTCCCATGAAACTCTGCTGCTTCCATTTCCGCCTTTGACGTCTCGAAAACTGCGACTTTCCACTTCAGGAACATAAAAGCCTCCTTTTAGTCTGAGTTTAGTCATCGTGTCCCCGGTTTCTGGTATTATAAGCATGCTAAAATAAGGGATAGGTTGTTTTCAATCATAAAGACTTGTTTTTTGTTGAAGAGTGAACTTCAGCTACGTGGCAAAACAAGGACGAGCGCTTGACAGAAAAACAAACTGTAGTATTTGGCGTTTGGCGCAGCGGACATGGTGGCAAGATGTGCTTTGTCAAAAACACCGCAGTGGCAGGATTCCTTCGTAGTAATAACGAGACTTGTTTTTGAATAGAGGCGGCTCTGCTAAATCGTTTGTACATGCTTCATGCCATTTTCATGGAACGCTGACACGATAGGATTGCTTCTGTATTCCAATGAATCCTAAAAACGCACTTGCAGCAGTGATGATGCTGGCCAACCCCTGACTGATTGAGTCGTTGACTCGTTTCTTCTGGCGGAGGCAACTTGCTTGTTATAGCTCAAGCCTGAAGAACGGACATATGGGTCTTTTACATGCATAGACACCTAATATAGAGACGCTGTATAAATCCTTCCTGAGGTTCTGGGAAAAGTGAGGGACCGTGAGCATAGTGGTTCTTGCTTGACTAGGGGAAATTCAGTGCGCATGTCGAAACCGAAGTCCAAAAACGGAAATGTGTCGTCACAAGGAACTGCCCCCGTATTGACTCAAGCGCGTTAAATTACTGGACTGCTGTCGCCCTACAAACGTACGTTTGTCCAAAACAGGCGTTTTTTCTCAGTACTACAGAGACCACAGATATACCTGGTGCCAAAATACTTTTAAGCAACTATCATTGATCGAATTGGTCGTGTTTTCATCGACCTGTTTTCGAAAGTGCTGATTTTCGGGTGAAGGCTGTCGACAGATCAAACAACCGCTTGACGCTCTGCGCGAAGTGTTTTTCAAGATCCATGGCCACTCGCAAGATCGGTAAACAGAAATTTGCTACTGAGTAAAATGTCAATTAGTTGAGGATGAAGACATAAGAAACTAAGTTGAGGATTAATCACCAGTGACGATTGACCACTGTGCAGCACGTCAGTTCAAGCCTTTGACATCAAGACGGGATTTGAGCTGTTGCGGTCGATATGCCTCTTCGATATAATTCCTTCGACTCCACTTTTTTGTGTCTTCATTCATTTCTGCTGGTGTGTATGTGCAAGCACTTGGTTTGCCTCAATTTTTGAGGCGAACAGCAGTCGTCATTTAAACATCTCTCTGCAACCAGGGGCTTCATTACCTCGCCAGCGCCTCGAGGCTCATTCGTTTTACAAACTGATGAATATAGCGCGTAAACAAAAGTCATCGGTACTCAGTGCTGGAAAAAGTTTTACACTTATAAAATCAGAGAAATATGAAGGCCCTTATTAAGTTTCATACCACTTTGTTGCTAACGGGCTTGAGCTAATGGTTTCTCTCTGTGAAGGCATTTGAACAGTGCTCCTATCGTTGTTGACCATCTGCTCTATGAAACAGTCTGAGCGTTTTCCAATGCCCTCCTCCTGTTGAGGCTTATCGATCTCTACATGTACATCAAGTCACAAGTAATCATCGAGGCAGTTACGCAGGCTGAGGATTCCAGGCTCACATTTACTAAGAAGAACTTGCCTTAACTTTTGTAAGATAGGCAAATTCACTTAATCGAATATTGATCCCTATCACTGTACTGCCATCTTCTTTGTAAATCCTGGCAGAAGACTTTAAAACTGAAGTTCTCACGATAAATCGTCGTTGCAAATCAAGTCATTTCATGGGATGCAGAAGCCCCAAGGCTCCAAGCAAGAAATCGCATCGATTGTCCATTTAATTGTAATGTTCGATAGTTGTCTACTAAGAGCCATGACATATTGTTGATACCTTTTTGTCGAAACCGTCAAGCAAAAACGATTTATTTATGTACAGTGCTATACGGTATTTTATCAGTTGATCAATCAATACTTACCGTTGGCTAGGCTGCTTTTTTCGGTTTGAATCAAAATACTCTACACAAATGATAAAATACTCTATCATCCGCAGTCCACTTATTCCATCCTTATTCTTGCCCCTTTTTGTTTTTATTTATTAATTGACTACCTGCATGATAATTATTCTTGTGCATGATTTCATCAGCGATAAATCATGCCTTCTGTGTGACAGTCAGATCGCAAAGCCGATCTCGAAATCTTATGGCATTTCTATGCTTTAATTCGTTTGTTAATCTTCCATGCTTCCTACTGACTGACTGTGGATCAGTAATACGATCGATTAACCACACCCCCCCCCACTCCGATTTTGTATATTACATTGAAAGTAGCTCAGCATGTCTAATGGTTGTCCTTGCAGCCGTTAAACGCTTGCATTACGAACGATTTCGGAGACAGGTTGTTCACCGCTGTTACCTGGTGATTTGTATATGGGTCTTGTTTAATGAGGTGTGCCTCTGTTTGCGAATGAATAACCTTGCAAAGGAGTATTGAGTTTGTTGCTCAGTGGTAGATGGGTAGCGATGACTCACGGACCCTCTGCCACACGTGACCGCTTGCGAGAAAGGCGTAGCGTACTTCCAGTAGATATTATCGATTTTTATCTTCGCCCAGGTTCTCTACAATCCATCTTGGACATCCCTGACAAACTGAAGAGCGAAATGCCAGTGGACGGATAATCTTTTGCCACAACTATGAAGGTTTATCACATGTACGGAAATGGCAATTTAACAAGTTTCTGGATAAATTTTGGTTCATATTGTTTCTTATTACTTTTGACAATTCTGCTAGGAAAATGAAACCCTGATTACAAACCCGGTAGAAAAAATTTGCTGTCCGTGTTAATCTCGAAGATATACGTTAAATTTTGTTCTGTTTGCAATCTGCCCTCTTAGAGGAGGATGGTGACTCATTTGAGACTCATGCAGCGAAGATCGATTGCTGAATGCAGCAAATAAGAAAATAAGATTCTTCGCGATTTGGATGATCACGTTCTGGAATGGTCTGTCCGAACTTGCATGTCATGTCATCTTCCCCCTCTGAATTGAATTCCCCTTCAAAGTTTCCGCAGTCTACACAAGCTCCCCTAAATCCGGTAATGACCCCATATTCTGAGACGACTGCTAAGAAATGACAACTTTCGATGACGCCACTCAGAATTATCTCCTGTCCCTTCACCGTGAAGTGATAAGGAAAATGAAAGCTTGCA